GTCGCCAGTTCTCAGCTTCCAGCTCCACAGATTGCTCCGCGTACTAAAGTTGTACTACAAAGTCGCCAGTTCTCAGCTTCCAGCTCCACAGATTGCTCCGCGTACTAAAGTTGTACTACAAAGTCGCCAGTTCTCTCACCAGTTCTCATCTTCCAGCTCCCCAGATACCCCGCGTACTAAAGTTGTACTACAAAGTCGCCAGTGCTCGCCTGCATTTCGCGCGCTCGACACGCACGATCTCCGCAGAGGGTTGCGCGGGCACCGGACAAATCGCACTCTCGCCTGCATTTCGCGCACTCGACACGCACGATCTCCGCAGAGGGTTGCGCGCGCATGGGGCAAATCGCACTCTCGCCTGCATTTCGCGCACTCGACGCGCACGATCTCCGCAGAGGGTTGCGCGGGCACTGGACAAATCGCACTCTCGCCTGCATTTCGCTCACTCGACACGCACGATCTCCGCAGAGGGTTGCGCGCGCATGGGACAAATCGCACTCTCGCCTGCATTTCGCGCACTCGACACGCACGATCTCCGCAGAGGGTTGCGCGGGCACCGGACAAATCGCACTCTCGCCTGCATTTCGCGCACTCGACACGCACGATCTCCGCAGAGGGTTGCGCGCGCATGGGACAAATCGCAGACTTCCTCAAAAACTAGTCAAAGTCTGCAAAATGAGCGTTTCGTACGAGACTTCCTCCAAAAGTCAAGCGGAAACACCCATCGGAGCACACACATCACGCAGCCCTGCCAAGCAGTTTCGCGATTCCAGCCCCTCCAAACAACATCCGCTCACACGCCAATCCCAATGTGACAGCGACATTCACCTCTACCACAACTCACAACCTCACGATTCCCTGCGCCTGCCACGAATCTTTCCCCATCCACACGTCTTATATGCGCCTGCCACGAAATAATGTCACCTCCCTCACACCTCGCAACCTCACGATTCCCTGCGCCTGCCACGAGAATCGCACTCCCACGCTTCAAAACCCGCACGAAGTCCTGCGCCTGCCACGAAAAGTGACAATATCATCGCATGTGAGCTTCAACAAAATTTGCACCACACAACACGTTTGGAATGATTTCGACCCGTTCAGAGCACACTCCCATCCACCAAAATCGCCACTTCAGCTGAGACTTGTCACGAAAACCGAGCTTCGATGCCACACCCTGAAACGCAAATCCCAATGGCACGGCCACATCCAACACCCCAAAAACGCGACTCTCCAAACGCTAATCCCGATGGAACTGTACAGTAATCTGCGGATCTCACAAAACGCTGCGCCTGTGCAGCGAAATGCATCACGTTTCTTGCGCGACATGTCGGTGTCATGCAAATCACAATGGAATTGCAGCGCAAACTGACACGTGACACATCCATGAAAAGTCACTTGCAAAAGCTTCCCCCAATGGCAGCAAATTTGAGACGCGACGACGACGACACGACGACGACAAACGACGAGAGACGACGACAAACGACGACACGACGCAAGCCATGCAAACACAGCTCCAACCCCCAGACCCCCAACTATAAACGGGAACCCTTCGCTACGCATTCGGGAAAAAACTACCCCCAAAGTCGACCATGTTGGTAGTTTAGTAGCGGCTTGAAAGGGCGGTAATTTAAAGCACAATATAAACCGAATTTGGAGGTTCGGACGTTGTGTTTTTTAATTGGGGAGTGCTTATTAATAGGCACTCGGGATTACGTGGCTGGTATTTTGTGTGTTTCGACGCTCAGTGACCCGGATTCTCGGTGACTGCCCGCCCTTTCGTACGCCGAGGGTGGCGATCGGAGAACCCCGAGGGTTTCAAGGCCCCCGACTGGGAGGAGTCTTTGAAGGGAGAGCAGGTGCAGCGGGTGCAGGTGCCCCCCCCCGCCAGGTGCCCCAAATTCGTGGCGGCCAAGGTGCGAATCCGAGAGGTCAAGAAACAAAAGGTCATCTACGGGATCATCTGGACGACCACTAAACGACATCATTGGCCGCATGGTCTCGCATTCGCGTGACTGGAAGGTGAAGGAAGAACCATAAATTTTAAGAGGCCCTTTTGGGTGAGAAGGTGGCAGGGACAAGCAAAACAGCGAAGTTTTTCTGGAAGTTGACTAGCACAGGTGTCGATCTATGCCATCTACGCTGGTGAGCAGTTATAGTAAGCCCCTGTAGCTGGCTATGAAAAAAGTCGCAGGTGGCTGGGTGGGCTGTCACGCAAGCGCAGCAGGGAGCGAGCCAGGGTGAATCCTATAGTCCTTCGCATGTAGAGGATGCGTGTTTGTAACACGACCACCATCCAAGTTTCAGTGCGTGAGGTGTCTATAGCCAACCACTTACGTGACTAGTGTGCCCACCCACTACTGAACAGTGAGGATGTTTGATGTGCGCGTGGCCCCCCCCGAGCGAGGAATATGCTTTGGTGGAAGTGGGTCCCGGAGCCGATGACGTGCGCGGGTCCGCGGGCAGCACATGTTGGGTGTTTTGTTCGTCTCCGATCGCGGAGGCGCTCAAGTCGCGCTGGCGAATTTACATCGAAGGCGCAGTATAGGTTGGTACCACAGGCTTGCTGCAATATCTATATCTGCACCGCATTCACCTACGGAGACGCAGTTAGGCGAGCGTGCCACAGTGATTCAGGGTGGCAAGAAAGATGCGTCAGAACTTTGTGCCAAAAGTGCACCTTGAGAACAGAGAGAAACAAATTATTTTTATGGTTTGTGACCCCATGACGTGCGGTGTTGCCCGCACCACGAGCAATCCAATAGCAAGGCCTGCGCTAACAAACTCGTTTTCGCACTGCGCTTCCATGCGTTCTGGTATGGAAAACTATAATATAGAAACTGGATCGGAACTGGGAGTGAAGCAACTGACCGATGCCAGCAAGTTTCCGACCACGAGTCATTTTGGAACAGGTGCAGGCCAATGCGGGCTGGACAAAAAGGAAGGATGCGCAGACGATTTTTTTTTTCTTGGAGTGTATGAATAGGTGTGCCATCGTTCGTGTTTGCTTTCACAGGAGATGTTTCACAGGAGGAACTGCAGGATGGTTCCCATGATGGCCATGACTCATAACGACGCACCGGTCTGGGGTGAAAATTCGGGTTCTTCACTGCTCGGAACGAGCTTCACCTCCGCTTGCCTTTGAGGCGCCGCTTTTGAACCAACGAGAAACGGTTCGGCTAATTCACCAAAGGTATCCAAAGGTGATCACTGAACATCAACCATGAGGATGCTGCATGCATGCTTAATTGATGATTATGTTTGGTGTTGCAAGCACGAACGACCAACAGGGGCCGAATCGGTTGCCGATACCGAGTAATTACTCCTCTCTAAGTTGTGAAGTCATGGGAATGTGCGCGAAAATGGTCTACATTAGATTGTTCCAAGCTAAAATAGTCTAGGGGGTCAAAAAGAACACCTAACAGACCAACTACAGAGTTTGATTTTCAATTGCTTGTAAATAATTGAAAACACCAGCAGTAACGCGGACTAGTTGCTTTCTGAAGAAGACAGCTGACATGCAAACGGTCTAAGGTGTTGAACGTTCGCCTTTTCAGCCGCACGTCGTCCGTCAAACGGGTTCGAAGAATTCAGTGGTCTATACATTTGAGGGAGAAAATCCATAATGAGACTCCCACATTTGGGGTCGATGACACCTTTTTTGGAGTAAAAGAAACACCAACCAAAAAGTCCGCGCAGTTTTTCATGCAAAGCTGGAACTGGCCGCACCTTGTAGCTGCAATCGGGGCCACAATGAGTTGGAGAGTTGCCATTGTTTCCACCTAGGTTCTAAGACCGAGAAGAAACTGGACGGAAAATATGAAACACGTTTTTTATCACATCATCAAAGAGAATGATCGTGCGCAACCGATTTTCTCCCTTTTGAAAGCCAGAGCGTCATCTCCCCCCTTCGATGAATTCCGGGCCTGAGTTTGTACTATCCTCATTTGAGGAAACCAATTTACAAATTGAAACCAAGATTCAGTCAAAAACATAATCACCCTATGGGAATTAAAGGATCCATGCGAAAGGACTACTCTATTATATGTGAATTGACCAACTCAGTGACCAACTCAATATGAGTTGAAGACTCCGTGTGAATTGGACACTCCATGTGAACTGAGCACTCAAAGTAGGATGACAATTCACGAAGTCAATTTTTCACAAATACTTCATCTAATTCTATGAGCGCCTCCCTAATTGGTACAGTATGCACGCAGTTGTACAGTTTAGGTACGTTCCTTCAATTTTTCGTTTTTCACCAAGCACAACCATCAATTTCCCCTTTGCACACATCATATTTAATTACACAGTAGGTGTAATGCCAACGGCCACTACAGGCACCGCCGAAAGTGGCTATGGCAGTGAACAAAAAGAAGTAAGAAAGACAACTTCCGTTAGTAACAATGTTCGCTACTAGGGGCTCCTGGCATCGCTACTAGGAGCAAGGACGCTACTAGGGGCTCCTGGCTGTACTACTAGGAGCATTCTTGCTACTAATACGCAACAACTGGTGACTCCTAGCGACGGCTGAACAACTGAGGTTACCTATACCAAACGTAGCAAAACAACATTTGAATTACGGTATATGCAACCAAGGTGGGTTAATGTATTTTACCAATGTTGTATTTGCTGGAAAAATGATCTTTAAACTTTTTCATGGTAGCTGGAGACATGCTTTCGCCGCAGCACATGCCAGGTACGACTACTCCTTCGCGCTCATATGGCGTTACAAACGCTGAAGGGGCGCAGTGAGGCATACGAGGCCGCGGCGGCCAAGAAAGTGTCCCTGACGCTCCATGGGACTAACATATTTATCTACATTGGGGTGGTTTCAAGGGTAAATCTAGTAGGCATATATATTCAATATTCCATACATGGAGTGTCTGGGTTTGCACATAGTTTTGTTTGTGAAAAGGGTTTGGTTACATTTTTGGCCACCTAAGATCCTTCCACGGCACATGAACGGCGGTCTGGGGCAAACAAGTTACATCACGTGATTGTACAAGGGGCACACGAGTGTTTGGTTGGCGGCTATTTTTCAATATTTTTCATGTGCAGCTTTGGGTGTGTCGCCTGTTCACGCCTGTTCCTTTTCGTTTTTCGTTGTGCTTTTCCACCAGTGCGTGGGCATCAGCGAGATCACCGAGATCCGCGCAGTCGCTTCGACGCTGTAGGCGAAGGTGACCTCGAGTGCTCTTTGGAGTCCTGAGATGGGCAATCACATGGTGGAAGGCGTCCGGAAGGCCCAGATGTGCCACACAGACACGGGAGACGTCGCTTGACGTCGCTCCATGCGAGCCGAGTAATACAGCTACAGCTGTGTGGGGCTCGAACCGCCGGATTGGGCGGGCGTTCGCTGTGCGCGCAGACTAGGGACCGAATTTCTTGCGGATTTGTACTTCTGGTCACTATAATAAATATAGTAGTAATGGCCTCCACCCTAATGGCCTCCACGCTAATAGCGTCTGGGGTTCGGACCGCGGTGGGTTTCTGGGAAGTGGCGTAGTTTGGACAAACGACGACCAGCAACTCCCAACCCAAACGGGGTGTGTGGATCCTTTCGGCAAACTACGCTTTGTCGCCTCGCATTGTGGGATGTCTTTGGATTTCTTCAAGGTTGAAAGCTTTCTGGATGGTAAAAAAAACCTTTGAAAAGAAGCTGATCAAGTGATTTGAAACAGGATGACAGCACTCTCCCGAAGTAGTGGGCAGTTGACAGCATTCCCCTGAGTATAGCAGTTCAATCTTTCCCGAAAATCGTTTGCAGGCTTCTGACCGTCAGACAGTCCTTGAGTCCGGACAAATTTGACCCATTTGACCGGCTGCAGGACTGAATCGTTTTAATGTAGTTGGTGTATTAAATGGAAGGAGACTTCCAGCCCCCAGATGCCGCCAGATGCGGTTTCGGTTCGGATCCAGACTAGATCTGGACCTGCCAGTCTATAGTCAGGGCGAGACCCTCCCAATTCAACACATCCCGTCGTTCATCCCAGCGGTTTCACCCCGGACCTCGGAACGCTCGGACCGTCCGACCGAACGACGGACCCAGTCCAGCGAGTCACATCGGTCCGTTCGGTCCGGTCGGGCGCCGTCGGGTCGAGGTGTTTTCCTCACAGCTCAGTCGTCTGGCCGAGGTCTTTTGGGGACCTGGCCAGGTTGGCTTCTGTATGACCTTCATTTGTCAGAATGTGTTGGCTTCGGCTTCGGCTTCGAAGTCTCCCTGAGTTCGGTTAAGTTCAACGCCTGGGATCTGCCGGCACCATCACCCGCGGCCGCCCCATGTCGTGCGGTGCTGCGGCACCGTCCAGTCCACCCCACACGATTGAGGTCACGAAGCCGCCGTACCAAGCGTCCTTGGATGAGATCGACCTGGTGGAGGAGCGATTTTGGGTTTTTCCAGACGTGATCCCGGTGATGGACGTGGCACTTGGGACAGTCCCGGGAGGGAGGAAGGTGGAGGAAGGTTCGGAGGTTCGATTCGGGAGTTGGACCGGTCGGACCAGTTCACTCACTTGTTTCTTTCTGGTCGGCAAAGCCGTGGAAATGGGTCATGGATGTTTCATGGATCTCAGAAAGTTTGGTTCAGATGTCTTACTGTTTTTCAGACGTCTCTATTCATACAACTGGAGACGCTAATCCAGTAAAGGGAGGGTGGGAGGGCGCTGGATTTGTTCGAACAAAATGTATCGTAGTGGTTTCTGATGTGAGAAAGCACACGGTAGTCATGATGTGGAGATCTTTGGCCCACACGATGTGGGCCATATATAGCTGTGGGCTTCGCAACGGCCGGGCTTTCGTCCTTTTTCCTTTACGTCCTCCGCTACGAGCGGGGTTATGGTTCCTTGGCGGGGGCCTTCACCAGACAGTCATGAGTCATGACGAGTCTTCACCTGATATTGACATATATACCCTAGAAGTCGAACCACCATTGTTTTACTAAGGATTTTACACTACAAAACCACGTCAACCATTCTTTTCATGGTCTTGGAAGTCTAGGATTTACACTTGTCATACAAAATTGCACACTGATTTATGAATCTCATAGGACCGGCGACACGACAGGACTGTGTTGGATGTTTCTGACGTGGAACAGCTGACCCTTACGTCCCATCTCCTTTCCAAGTGGATCTCATGTGACCTCTGGCCCTTTGTTCGACTCTGGGCCCTTCGTTTGTCTCTTCAGTCCATCGGATCGAGCTTTCCAGTTTGTACCAGATCGGGGCCCCACTTTCGGACTCAACAGAGAAACCACCTTTGGGAATCGTGGAAACCTGTATAGTAAACAATAACGCTTTCGTTTGTATGTCCTTGGTAATTACTTGCTAGTACACTATAGAAGCTGAATTGTCTCTATTTCATTGACCCCAAAAAGACACCAATTCCATTCACCCCCATCGTTTCCATCAGATCAGCGGTCGGTCCATCATATCCACTCGGTGTCCGGAGGAGTCCTTGGCCTTCCGCCGTCGAGAGCTCATGGAGGCCGTGGCGACTCCCGTGGCGACTCCCGTGGCGACTCCCGGGTCGGGGCGGTCGCGAGTCACCGGAGGAATCGGAGGAAGCGAACGTGGCTTTTCGCCCAAACCGGCGGGAGAGAAGCCTGTGGGGGAGAGAACCAAGTTGCTATGTGGTTTTGGTGCACAAGGAGGGTGTTGCTGTGTGGCTGTGGGCTCCTTCCTTCGTCTTCGGGAGTGACATGTGAACTCGCGCCGCCCGCAGCGCGCAGGTGGCCAACGGCTTGGGCTCGGAACGGCTGGGCGCCCCACTGCGGGTGAAGCCGAAACGGTGAGGACGATGGGCCATGCCGGTGGCGAGAAGGCTAGGCCAAGCTATAGCATAGAGGCCATAAGCATGCTAGAAGCATATATATGATTGGCACAGATCCCAGGGATATGCTTTTGCCATGATCTGCCACTTTGAAGGGTCCGTGACATGGATGTGCCACTTTGAAGGGTGGAAGCGAAGCTACTAGGAACTCCTGGCCTTACTACTAGGGGCACCTGGCATCGCTACGAACGGAGCATTCTTGCTTCTAGTAACAAGAAGCTACTAAGTACTAAGACTAGGTATAGGATGGGCCCAAACAGCCCTTGAGCTCGGTCAAGACAACGGGTTGACGAAACGAAACGTGGGTGTATTTGAAACCTGTGTGTTTGCAATAGGTCAGTCAATCCATGTAGGGTACATTGACCCCTGAAACCAACCAACTACTCTGACGACTGATGCGAAACCCATCGAAATCCTGGTCGTCGCAGGGGCTGGCAGGGCTTGGTGTGGACCTTCGCCAACTTCCCACTGCTTGGCACTCCTGGTGGCCAAGTGGCTTGGCATTTTTCGATGTGGCTGGAAAAGGGTTCCACGTCATGCTGAAACGATCATGGCAATGATACGAACGTGGCGACAAGCACTATGATTCTGATACTTGGGCCAGTTTGGGCCTTGCTTGACAGGACAAAACAGGCAGTTTCTTCAATTGACCTCTTGGTGACCTCTTTGGTTTCCAACCACCTGCTGGTATCTGCTTGTTCTTCAAGAGCTATCCAAGAAACAGAACAAGAACTCCTTTGTCGCGCTCACTTCTGCCCTCATGGAAGGATCGTCGCTTTGCCCCTGACCCAGACCCGAAAAAGGTATACTATATACTTTGGGTCTGGGTTTGGGTATACTATATACCAAAAGTGCACAAAAAGGTATACTGAAAGCACTTCTTTTTGGTGAAAAACCCAGTCACTCCGCGGTCACCCGTCACTCCCGGTCCCCGACCGGTCCCCGACCGGTCACTCCGTCTCTTCAGGCGCCTGCGCAGCCGGCGTCGCCCAAGCGATCGGACCCTCCGCGGGGGGCACGGGAAGGACGATGGTAGCTGGGCATCACCTGACCCAGTCTCTGGTGAAGGAATGATACATTCACCCTATAGATGTCCAAAGACTATATATATTGACCGTCTGAAGTAAAGGAAGTTCCCTGAAAAGGTCCCCTAAAGACCATTCTTTTTATAGTCTTTGACTCCCAGGGTATATATATATATCATCCACTAGTAGTTTCACCTTCTCATTCATTATATATTCATTATTATTGTTATTATATAGTATCACCTTCTCAGAGTGTACTCGGGATCCTATCGGACTAGTAGTTATAGATCATTTGCCCTTAAACGGCTTCACAACGTTCACGGCATGGTTGATCTGGCGACCTGACCTGTTTCCAGCTCTTAAGACGTCACCGAAGATGAACCGATTCTTTTCAACTGGGCACGTGCCGCTATGCCGCCATCCACTGGCTGACGTGGAATCTATTCGATGCATCATTGTGTTCATCATTCCCACTTGTGGCTCAAACATCTTCAAACACTAAAAAAAAGATGTTCCATTGTTTAGCATTCCTTGACCTTTATTCATTCCTTGACCTTGCTTCTGGCTTGAGAGTAGACGACTCTTCAACAACCGTGTTGCCGTTGCCCTGATCTCCTTCACTGATCGCCGAGAAGTGAACGTGGTTTTGACGAAAAACGAGTGGAGAAACATGGCTGGAGGGGTCTCCGCGTAGACGAACCCAACTTGTTCGTATCGAACATTGCCCCATGCAGCCGCAAGGACGGCCTGGGCTCCAGATCCCGCTTCGTACCTGATGAGGCACATGGAAGGATACATGGGTGGTTGACCCAGAAGGGGGGGGGCATAGGGGCTGCGGCTACGTGACCAGGTTTGGTTGTTGTGACAGCGTGATTTCCATTAACTGAGGCAATTGCGTCCTTGTTTGTTCCAAAACCAAGCAACCCAACATAAACCAACCTGTAGTGGGCGAAGGATGTTTACAACCAGGGTAATATGTAATGATCATGATCAAGCCGTTTGGAGTGGATTATCATCCGGGGTAGTTTGCATCGTATCAAGTCTTCAAACACCGGCATCTCAACACACCGAACACGACCCAGCATCTCATTCGCCTTTGGTTCCACTATTCAAAGGCAACTCTGTCAACCGAGTATGTCCATCTCAAATGCAAAAACATATGTATTTTTAGGTTGCAATTTCCATGAGCCAATCCGGTTGGTGGTCCTAAACCAATTCTTCTTTCCTCCAACCTCAACCTCCCGGCACCTCCCGGCTGAAGGCGCGGCCGATCCGATTCGTCTGTGTGAGGTCATCACACCTCATCCACGTTTCTTAGCCTTTGTGGCCAACATCCGAACCCGCAAGGGCGCGAAGGCCGAACACCCGGTCGCACTCGGACGCGAGAGATGGGCCGAAGCCGGCCCGCGAGGAGCGGCAAGACCGACGCGCAAGAGGGTTTGTTGTATGCCGGTAAGGAAGGAAATCAGGTTTTCAGGATTGTAGCAGCATCCTATAATAGGAATATAGGTATTCTGGCTGGACTACCCATACACTGCTTATGGACCTCCAGATAGGACACCCAGACAGGATGATCCTGGTAGGTGAACTTCAAAGAAGGGTGAATTCATGGTGAAGTCAAAAAGGGATGGTCAAGACATTGGTGGTTGAACCATAAATTGATGGCCTGAAAACTGCCTCGAGGTTTTGTGCTCTAGGATCAAAGGCACATTCTCACCGGACCGAATGCCACAAAGTCACATTTAGCTGCGTATATAGTAAACACTCCTTAAAGGGCAATACCCTCTCTGCACTCAGCAAGGTCGAGTTCCATACTGAAGGCAAAGAAAACTAAATCTGTGTGCCTTTTACCCAAATCTATCAATTCCTGAGTAGTAAAAGTCAGTTTCTAGTGATGTCAGTTTCTTCACCTCTACTTCTGCTGATCTTCTTCTAACTGCTCTTTGACTGATCCACAGCACCGCACAGCCGAGAGCACGCGTCTCTCAGACCGCCGCCCTGCTGCCGTTGGCCACGGACGCCTCGGGCACGTGCGAAGAGGCTGTGCAGCGGTGGTTGTTGGTGTGTCCACCGCCATTTGGTGCAACATCATCAAATATCGATACATCTGGCTTGCATGGGTGAAGCGTTTTTTTGCGAACGCGCCATCTCTCAAAACGAGTTTAGGTCGTACGGAATGTGTGTGAAAACTCATGTTGGTCCTTGTTTCTCTCCTGTCCTTTCCGTCCGCAGTGGCTATATATACTGACTTTCTGTTTTGTCAGGTGTTGGGACATGGAGTTGGAACCCCATCGTCCGGCTTTGCCATAAGGGATGCATTTTTTCCCTCCAGCGAAAGAAGGCGATCATCGAACATGGTAACCGCTTTTCGTCCATTCACCAACCTACACACTCCATGTAGGGTATATACCTACATGAACCCTTGAAAACCACCCCAGTCGTGGTGGGTCAATCATATGCCAGTCCCAGACAGGTCGCGTGACAGGTCCAATTCTGACCTGTCAAAACGAGACCCTTTCGGCCGTCGTGGCGCGCATCTGTGCTGCGATGTGCGGCGCCAGGCAGAGGAGATCTCGGAGAAGCTGCCTTGGGAACTGGAGGACGGTGTCGTGCAGCAATAGAAGAACGCGGATGCAGACGCTGTCAACTTCTGGAATTTGAATTAAAAACATCCTCATGTTTTCTCAACTACCTTTGGCAGACCATCCATGGTGTAGTCCTGGCTTTTGAAGGCCTGTTGAAACCACTGCTTGGACCCAGGCAGGACATGGCATGACCGTCCCCAATAGGTTCCAACAAAAACGGCAGGAGCCCCTAGTGGCTTCTTGTTCCTAGTAGTACGGCCAGGAGGCCCTAGTAGCGTCCATGCTCCTAGTAGCGATGCCCTTTGCTCCTAGTAGCGTCCATGCTCCTAGTAGTATGGCCAGGAGCCCCGTTCGTAGCGTCCGATCGCTCCGTTCGTAGCGATGATATCTATGTTGTCCATCACTCCAATTTTCCTATCCTGGGATCGGGTTGGCCTCGTGGTTTGGCCCTTGTTGGATCCCTTGAAGTCAGGCTGTGCAGAGATGGTAGCTGTCCACTTCGGTGTTTAGCTTTCAAAGGTTCGGATCTTGACCGGTCAGGGGGGTTCCCTGTCGTGGTCCCAGGAAAAAGGGGATTTTTTTTTTGATGGTTACAGGGGGGAGAGGTTCACTTTTAATTCTGATCCAACAAAGTTCTGAGATGAGTTCTGAGATGATGTTCACTCTTAGTTTTTTAGTTCTGATCCAACTTTCTGTATTTTTTAGATCATCTGATCCAACAGCTTGTTTGCAAGCATTGTTGCACATCTTTGCCGATCCCTTGAAATTCTGTCGATACTTATACGTACACTTTGGGACGGCGGACGTACGCTGTACACTTGCAAGCAGCATATGATGCAACCGATGGAAGATATTTTAAGACAGACTGTTGAGGAGTCATTTAAGCTTGCCTTTCATGGATGTGGTGATGCAAAGGTACAATAGGATAGTGAGAAACATCGTCAGAATTAGATTAAATGTGTGAAAACCATGTGTTTGTTTCTATGTTTTCTCCAGGACATCGCCCTTCTCTCCCGGATCCTCATCTCAATCCGTGGTCCTCGTGGTCCTCGTCCGGTCCGTACACCGGTCACGATCCGTTCTCGCCGGTGTCGATCCGTGTCAGGCGGCTCAAGGGCGTGTGTGATCGGTGTTTCTTCATCAACACGGTACAATGAGGTCCAAAGAATGAGGTATAGATTTTCAACATCCGCCCTAAACACATGATCATCATAAGCCAACGATGGTTTGCGCCAAGAACCAAAGCAAGCGGATCTTCGACCCCCCAACCAGTCGATCTTCGGCCCTGTGGTTGACACCTCGTGCCTACACCCGCGCGGCACCGGGTGCCTTTCCGGTGCCTGGCACCGGTGCCGGAATCCTCCATTTTCACCGCCATGCTGCGGTGTCTTGGTCGCACTCGGAACCGATCCGACCCGAGCCGGGGAGAAAGAAGCGAAGCAGAGAACAGGAGAAGAGAGGAGTCGAAGAAAAGAACTCCTGGTTTTTGTAGTGTTGTTTATCCGTAAAACAAGGATTGCTTTGTAACGCCCATGAAAACTCATGGTGGTTGGAATCCTAGGGGATACGTGATGGCATGGCTGGTGAGGGAGGAATGAAGAGATTTGGACTGCCATGGCAAACACCTGAACATTGTGGGACTATTCTGGGATCAGTTTAGTGGTTGAAGTTGGCTCGTGGGAAGAGGGCTTGCATGAGATCGTCATCTAGCACTGGAGAGTGGTTGGAATTCTCAGAAGTCTACAGCAATTTTTTGGTATATGTTTGAACGGTTGCTGCCTAGATTGGCTTGCCATTGGCTTTTCAAAGGGTCTCACTTGGTGACTGACCCGTTTGCTGGTCTAAGGGAATCCGGTATATTTTTCGCCGTGACCAAATCGGTTTTTCAGCACACCACCTTGTTCAGTTTGCGAGGTCGTTTTTGCGCCCGCTGGCCGCCTCTGGAACCCGCGGTGCGGTAGGCAACCGCACCGGAGGGTTTGCACGGCGGCTGGCCAGCGTGCGAGAGCTCTATGATCGTGGCTGGGCGGCAAGTCGCAGCTATTGGGGATTTGGATGGTTCAAACAAGCAATTCCCAAGAACAAGTGGGTGACCATACCTTTTAACCTACAGCCAAGTGTTTAGGCCATAGAAGAAAGTGCACAAGCATGGGACGCAGTAAGACTAAATGGAAAAACAAGAGTAACAAGAGTCTGGGAGTGTATAATATATACAAATATCTCAATTGTAATTAGTAATTAGTCCAAGAAAGGGATCCTTTGTGTGCCCTACCCAATCTCAGATGTTTGGCCTAACACATATATCTACGATACCATTCATGACGTTCATTAGTTGAAATATGTTGAAATTGTGGACACCTTCATACAATACAGATCCAGTCCAAAGATCTTCAAAGAAAAACATAACAAAACACAACAAGACGAAAAGACTTGATGTCAAATCTCTTCGGCCCGGGCCGGCCGATCGACACCGGCGAGGCCGATCCTGGGCCGAAGGCTACGCGCCCGACGCCTGTGGCATGGCCGGAGAGGGAGGGAGGGAGAAGAGGAAGTCATGGGATGTTGGGGTAGAAGTGGATGAGCATGGGAAGTGAAGTTCTACAGTTTGCGACTTGATGATGTTTTTGTGCTGCTTGGCGTGTGCTTTTGAGTTCAAGTTCCTCCACATTATTCCATGTTGGACGAGTTGGTTGGTCTCCGCAGAAAGACTTACTGGAGCAATGTCTCCAGTTGCAGTTCTGGTCTCATTTTTGGGCCAATCCTGATTCTGGTGCTGTCCGGATTGGTAGAAAGGATAGCCACCAGAGGGTCAGTTTACTGTCCGGGATGCTGTGGTTCTGGATGTTGGTTCGTGTCTTTTGTGCAGATTTTGGCGCTAGAGAAGTCGCTCAAACAGTTGCAGAGCCTGGTTAGGACGGGGCTTTGAATCAGTCTTCATCCAGGACGATCCGTTTTGTGCAGAACCGACTAACGAATGGAGGTGCTGTGGATCCCACGAACGGGTGATATTATAGGCAGGAGCACTTGCGGAATCGGATCGAAGGTTTGCTGTGGATCCGCGCGCTATAATTATATCCCACTGCGACCTGTGACACAGCCGGCCTGGCCGGCGAGTCTCCCTGGTCCTCGAGGGCTCTCCCCCATTTCACCCCTTTCCGTTTCCGTTTCAAGAGATGTCGAGCTTGGGTTGCTCTGCCAGCAATGCCGGAGACGATGTCCTTCGAGCATCCGTGTTCTCATTGGAGGTTGCCTTCCTTCTTTCTCTCAAGCAAGGTCGTGCTTTGTGGCTTCTTATTCCGTGGGACATGACCGACATGACCCACTGTGGATCTTCCATGACCTTCAGACGAAAAAATGCTCGTTGGCATCACACATCCTTCTTCCTCACATGCGTCGTTCGCTTACCGGTCCACCGACCGGTCCCTTGGGCTCACGGAGGAGACCGAACGGGTGACACGACGACGACCGACCACCGCGTTCGAAAACGCGCTGGGCGCCCATGATTTGTAGATCATGAAAGCGGCTGCATATAGCCGGCTGTCTTTACTTTCCCAAGCAGGTGATTTTTTGTGGGTTGGTGATGCAGAAGATGCAAGGAAAATAGGTGCATAATGTGCATCAGCAACCTGCTGTAAGGACACTATTTAGTTGATGTGCATTGAATTGCCTTGGAAACATGTTCAGATCTTTTCGGCATCAATATTTGATCCATCTGGCGAGCCGTTTCCTACGTGGGGGCACACTCTGCACTTACACTGGCCTTCGTTTCCCCCTGAAATCAGATGTGTTCCTACACACACACATACTGACGTACAACTGTCACATACGTCTGGAAAGCATCAGCAACTTCGTGATCCACATGGGGCCTGGACGTACCTGGACGTACCTGGACTGGTTGAAGAAGACTAGCTTTCGGGCTCGAAGCCAACATCCCACGCGGCCCATGCGGAAGAGGCTGAAGCTTGGCTAGTCCGGTGCTGAATGATAATGGTCATCACTGACGTCTTTGTTGGGTTTCCCTCCACACCGAACTCGTGAAACGTGAAGTATCGGTGTAAGATAGCTCAGGGATGGGAAACCAGGGATCAGAAGTCAGCGTAAGAGAGCACCGCATGATGCAATCCACCCAAAATTCGGAACGCGGGTCGTCTTCCTCGTGACTTCCGAGTCATTGACCTGTCAACTCTCTCCTCGTCGTCGAGACAGACGGGCGCTGAGGCCAGCTGGAAGTCATCGAGAAGTTGGACAATTTGTCCAACTCGCTCTCGGCCAAGCAGGCCGTGGGGCTCATCACCGGCGCTCCGGTACGTTCGTTTTGCTTCCAAGACGGTCACGACTGGTCATGACGGGCACCGTGCGTCGCCGACCGTGTTCGTTTGGGGGTCGGGTCAAGGATGAGGAGGGTCTTGGCGATGTTCTCAGCCAGAAAAACGCCTTGTTGGACGAAACCGGTCAGTTTGTTTGATCAAATAAAAAGCAAATTTCCACACGAAGGCTTTTAGACGTATGCCAGGAGCTTGACAGATGGCTTTTAGACGTATGCCAGGGGTTCCACTCCAAGGCAGGAAATCTCCAGCTTCACTTTTTGACCAGATCTGAAAAGCCTCAAGTTGATTCAATTTGGGCCTCACTGCAACTGTCGCCGCTTTGACGCCTGACACGATCTATCTGACTCCGTCTTTGCTCCGCACCACGATCACACGACACGCGGACTTCGGTGGACGCTTTCGATCGGCTTGGACCGACAGGTGCCCAAAGGTTTGTACCTCTATGGAGGGGTTGGCACCGGCAAGCCGCACGGTGGCACGGGGTTGGGGCGTCGGGTCGGCCGGCGAGGAAGGGCGGCACCGTTGTAAAGGTGTTTTTTGGAGGTCGAAGTAGCTATATAGCTATCAAGTTTCATCCGGAGTTCCGAAGCAGATTCTAACACTCGAATTGGAACAACGGATCCGAAATCAGCTTTTACTGACTGCCCCGAGTCAGTTCCCAGGACCAGGGTGGAGAGTTCCTTGGGACACCTTGTGCAGTGCAATCTCTGAGGACGATGATGCTGGATCTTTTCCACGAGTCCTTGATCGCCAAGGGCTTCAACTGTGATCCCTGGCATGGCTGAAGTGATTCCCTAACAATCCATGTATGTTTTGGCATATACATTGACCCCTGTTCAACCTGCTAGTGAACTTCAGTGATGTTTCATGTATGTTCTCTCTCAGTTCGTGGAGACGTGACGTCCTCGTTCGTCCGTCCCGCCTGGCTGGCCGGCGACCAGCAGAGCTGAAGAAACCGGATCCCATGGGAAGAGGTGGTTTTCCAGCGGCGACTCGTTTGGATTCGCTTTGTCCCTATAGGAATCCAGTCGTAGCTTCTCAGAAGGCACTTGGACCCTCCAAACCCACCCCAGTCCCACCTTCTGAGAAGGTACGACTGGATCCCTAGGGTTTGATGTATTTGATGTTCCTTTGTAGTTGGGAAGACCCAGCTGTTGTATGAACACCGTCATGGGTTCGGGTGCAGTGAGAGGATCGCCCGTGACCTTCCTTGATGATTTCCAATCAACTGAGATGTCTCAACGCGTGAGATTTCTTGGTGAGTATAGGGGCATTGCTATAAGGTGCGACATGTACTTGTTCTAGGTCCAGGCAAGGGATGAGTACTTGGGAACTTCTATGGCATAGAGCAAGTCTGCGTTTTTGCTTTTGGTGTCCACCCCAAAGCCGGAGGCTGCTACAGCTGGTTGAGCAGAGATGCTTTCCTCTACTCAGCAGACTCAGCATGGTTTGTTCAGAGAGTCTGATGTCGACCCACCTGGAAAGGACAAAGAAGCGGCCCAGGCCCAGGCCCATCGCCCATCCATCCATCCATCCATCCATCCATCCATCCATATTCACATCCATTTGCAGCCAAGAAACATGGCAAACCGGATGCGCGACCGGTGTCAAAGACCTCTTCGACACATCCCAGGATCGGCAACATTTCCATGGATTTCTCAAGGAAGTGGATATCAGCCGCTGGGAGGGGTTTTGGCAGGGTGGGGGGCCTTCCGGGGCCCTCTAATCAGAGCAAGCAGGTAAACAGATGGTATACCCCCAGAACTAAGCTATGCGATTTTAATGCCCTTAGCAGAGCCAGTTATAGAACCCCCCCATCTAAAAGAGATTGAAGTAAGGGTTTGTGCCATCTACTCTGAAACCACCATAGAACCTGTCGCCGGTTGGGTCGCTGTACAACATGACCAGCTGGACGGCACTCCAGAGGAGGGATCATGGGATTGACATCTATCGAGTTACCTACCAAATCAGTACAACGGGCACTGTTCCTTTTTTGAGGGAGTTGGTTTTACCACAAACAGGTGTAGAGAGGTTGATGATGGCTGATTTCCACATTTGTTGGAAATTCAGCGAGTTAGTTCACGCATGTGGAACACATCCAGATCTCGAGTGTCAGGCTTGTTGGTGAAGCCCAAAGGTCACCAGGTCACCAGTGTAGTTGAAATAGTCATGTCCCCAGCAGAATGTAGAAGAACCAAATACTAAGAGACCCTTTGTGTGAAGGAAACCACCAGAATGTAGAAGATCTTGAACAAGAGACCCTTTTTCTGAAGGAGTTCGGCTGGCATGCGACAACGGCTTTCCACTTCGATGGTCGTTGGCCGCTGCTCTGAGTTTACCACAAGATGCGTCAAACGCAGAGGGGCCAGTCGAACCTCTTAGCACGTTGTGCAGAGGACGGCTTTGAGCTGCGGAGTGGGGCGGAGTGTGCGGAGATGTTTCAAAACCTAAGAGTTAAGGTTTTGGGGAGTCGCAGCTTGATACTTTTTGGTTTTTGGGGAGTGTCCAGCTGCGACTCGCCGGTGACCGGCCGAGCTCGTTGCTTTCTCGCATCTGGCGGGGAAGCCAAAGATGCAGGTCTTCAAATGGATCACCAAATGGAGATTACAACAAAATGAGCCTATTTTTGTTGCTTTTGTCTTATTTCATCAGCAATAACCACAAAGAGAAGCATGTGCCACATGATGCCACATGTCACAAAAACGTCAAGAAGACACATGAAGCCTTCCGGAAGACCTTGATCCTTTTGCTACAGTGGGAGGTCAATGAAAAAACCCGCGGTACCTCTCAAACAGGGTTGTTTTTGGGAGTCTGGTCTCGGGTCAGATTGAAGGAGATTCTGTTTGATGAATCTATTGATTTTATTGATATGTTGTAGGTATAGATGGTTGAAAGTGACCTGCTGGTACCATCTGATACGCTAGTCGTTTTTTGTCCTGCTAAGGGTCACTCTCACAAGGTGCCGATGCTGATCAGCGAAGGCGCCGTCATACAAATAGTCGTCTCTCCTTTCTGCAGCAGTCTGTAAAACATGTTTAATTGGTAGGTGGCTTTATGGTTGCCAACCTTCTGGGAAAGACTCCCACGACTAGTGATTTTGGGGCGAGGTCCAAGACCTCAACGACTAGTTCCGCCCAGAGGACTCCAGTCAAAGAGAAGCTGAAGAGTCCTGGATCCATGGAATTTCATGGATCCCAGAGTTTGTAATTGATGTGCTTTGGTATAGGGGCTGAACATCCTGCAATCCCAAACACCCCAAATGGATCAAAACAACCAGGCTGCAATCATTTGAGTGGAGTGGCTGATTGATCCACTGTTGCTGTACTACCCTGAAGTGGATCCACATGAGTATCAAAAATAGGGCAATCTCCCCCAGACCCCCTGAAAAAAAGGACATAGCAGGAATACACACCCCCATGCGATGCCCTCTCACCCCCGGCGCCACCACCCCGCACCGCCCATTGCCAGCGGCCTTGGAAGATCGATCGCAGGACTACTTCGCGCGCTGCCCCATTCTGGCCTTCGACGAGGCACATGTGCTGAACATTGGCGACGCGCTGCTCATGAAGGCCTTCGGCCCGTGGGACACGGGTCCGGGTTCGGCGTTCTCCGCTGCGCGAAGGGTCTGGGCGGGGTTGAAGGTGGGCAGGAGGGTAAAACGAGGTGGGCCTTGTTGATGGCGAGTCGCCCGCAAAGAAGGGTGGTTTGTTTAGATATGTTTAGATTGGACCTTGCTAGACACCAGTTGTGCGGAAGCAGCAAAACTCTGATTCTGCCAAATAGCATCCAGCAGGAAAGAAACAATTGAAGCATGGAGACTACGTGGAAGCTGAAAGACAATGAAGAGAAGGACCGGCGTTGTTGAAGCATCAGGACAGTGTTCAAGTGCTTTTCCAAGCGCCATGACAAGCCTTGCTTTGAACACGTCCAGATTTCGATCATGGACGGGCAAGCAGAGGCACACGATTCCCCACCGGCGACGGCGGTTTCTTGGTGTCTACGCTTCGGATGCCCGACACATCTTCACACAACGGAAGTGGTTTGCCGGTGAAGCGGAGCTGGCACGAACGTCACCAGCAAAATAATTCGTGTGGCAAGTACGGCTCGGAGGGGAGGGACTTGCACTTATCCAAAGGTCACTTTGAAGAACCAGGTTGTTGTTGTAGTTGTAGTAGTAGTAGTAGTAGTAGTTGTTGTTGTTGTTGTTCTTTATGTGCCTTTTTTTTCCGGAGATTGACTTGCACTCGTGGGGCATGGCAGCGGTAGCTTGCGTCATGATGCCGGTGCGATGTGGCAGCCATGCTGGCAGCACACTTTCACATCACCGACACCACGTGGCGACGAAGCGGCCAACGCGGTGGACTCAGCGAAAGGACGGCCATGGCTGTGCCCCACATGGGATGCGGCCATGTGAGTCTTGTGAGTGGACATGTTTTACGGCTTCGATGCAGCCCGAACGGGGTCCAGTTGTACCTTCGAAGGTGAGGATGGAGATTATTTGTGTAGGCGCCAGGAGGGCCCAGTCGTACCTCCTGAGAAGGTATGTGGATCCCTAGGGCAGGAGAAAAGTCAACAGCACACGACATGTAGATGGAGAGATGTGCATATCGCACATCCTGCTCAGTTGAAGCAAGTGTTGGACACATTGCGAACGAGGTGGTTCAAAAAAGTTGTACCCAGTATGCCGTACGCCGTACGTTTCACTCTTTGGAGCGGCTTCCTCCGGGCGGTGAACATGCCCTCTTCAACGCTTCGTCGATCGGTTGACGTCGCCGTCCCGTTGCTTCAAGCGGGACCGGTGCGGAACTTCAGCAAATGCTGCGGGTCGGGTCAGGGACTCTGAAAATTATCACTGACTTGGAGTATCGAAGCGGTTTTTGTTTCAGGTCCCTAGCATAGAAAGACATGGGTATTCGCTTAGGAACCTTCAAAAGGTCACGAACTGAAGAAGCTGGTACATGTTTTCCATACATGCATGGAGTGTTTGGGTTACAACTCAGTTCCTCTAAGTCGAGGGTTTTTCAATGTTTTTCAGCTTAAGACTAAAACAAGAACAACTCGACTGTCTGCTTTCCATGGAATCCCAAGTGTTTTAGAGGGTTGCCGGGACCAGTTTGGTGAAGCTTGAAACTACGCCACGTGAGAGCCGGTGTGGAAGGTTTTCTCGCAACAAGGCCTTCATGGAGGCATACTTCAGAGCTGGAGGTGTGGTAGTCGCCACCTCCAATGTACCTTGGACGAGTTGGTGGGGGAGGGGAGTGGAAGATGTTTGGCTGGAAGGTCAGTCCTGGCGGCCTGGCGGGCTCAGATCCAGTGGCACAGCAAATATAAGAGTTTTCTGGGTTTTTCTGGGTTTTCATCAGCTCGCAATGAGGTGGAATAAATTGAACGTACTCGACTTTGAGTGGGTGAAGCATCAATTCATGTACTTCAGGATGATCCTCTGGGCTGGCTCTTTTTTCAAGATGTGGGAAGACCTCCAGCCGGGCTGAACAACACCTACAGTCCACACCTTCGCAGCGATTCACGTCACTGCGGCAGGTCGCGCCGGATGATTTGTACGCCTCGGGCGTCAACCGCGAAACCTTCATGCCCTTCATCGACACCTTGCGCCAGTGCCTTCGGCGGATTTCGGCGGTGTACACGATGCTTTCTTAGGTTCCGGAGGGTCTTTCTCACGAGCGATGTCAGTAGGTGTAGGTCAGATCACGGATTTCCCCTGCAAGGTGTCCCGTAACTTTGGGGTTGTGCATGTGCTGGTGATAGATTCTTCAATTCTTGTTCTTGGTGTTTTTGTTGCAGCTTAAAGCACTGAAGAGACAAAGTCAGCAGGTCGGCCATGCAGTTCAACGAACAACACCAGCAGGTCATGGGTGGTTCCCACCAGATGCACTAGTTCGGTGTTCGGTGATATGGGCCGGTGTGTATTGAACGAGGGAGACCTTCCAAAGATCCCTTGGACAATTGACCAGTCTACCGAGTGGTTGGGGAGCTCCCCAAGACATACCCATATCACTGGCATTGGGGGTTCCTGTCTACAAATGCTGTAATTAAGATGTTGTCCCGGCCAAATGCTGCAGGACCACCATAGTAGAAACATATAGTGAACAGCGGTGAACATACTGTGGATGGAAAGAACCCGGCAGCAATGGACCATGCCATTCCCGGAACAATTCCATAAGTGTGACTCTGATACTGATCATGAGTCACTATACTGGCCATGAAAAGAACAGCACCAAAAAAGACAAACACGCACCAGTCATGAATGATCTAAGAGTCGACGGTCGACCATGGTCAACCCTTCTCCTTTGTTGCACCGCAACCACACCGGACAGCTGCACAGCTGGGTCGGGAACACCGGACGCCCGGTTCGCACCCCGGTGGACTGCCCCGTTCGCTTCGCGTCGGATCGCTCCGTTCGGTTCGCTTCTTGTTGGACGCTATATCAGAAAAACAGTCAAGATGCTGGTGTTCTTTGACCTTTTCCCTCTTTTATGGAAGGGCTCGTCGTTGTGGGCCTAGCAGACTCGTCAGACTCCTCCATCGATCCACATCGATGTACACAGTGGTGTGGGTGGGGGACAATGAGATTCCAAAGAACAAAACACAAAGAGATTCACTCTCAGAGTCCTTTTTATAGAGGACCTTTATGAACTATATATCATGAAATAATACAGGACAATCATGGGATGATCAGAAAGTATCAGCTATCCACAACACCATCCACAAAGTACTTCTTGGCCTGTTCTAGCTCAGTTCCACCTGGAATCCTTTGTGGCGATGTCAACCGTTGAGCTGAATGAACTGCGAGTGAATTCGCCGGGCGCTGAGGAGCTGCGAGTTCTATGAGATGCGCGGGCGCGAGGACTATCGCATGCGGGAGAGCCAGACCCGGAGGCGACAGTCTGTTTTGTGGTCCGAGCATGTTATTGAAACGATGGGGAAGTGTAGGGGAAGTGGAGAGCTGAGTGAGGAGGTGAGTGTGACTGTGTGAGGGTGTCTTTGTGTGTCTTTGTCTGATTTTGTGTTCAACTTCGATGTTGAAGCTGTTTGAGCTGAAGCAGCAGGAACATGCACGTGTGAGGATTAAAGATTAGTGTGTCCTCTCACCTGCGATAGGAGGGTTTTAAAAAGATATAAAGCACGGTGTGGAGAACTTTGGGAACCAAGTAAGACGACCCCTTCCAGACCGAACTGGTTGATGCGATGAAGAGTTCCAACCAAGCCTGGATAAAAATTGGTCCCACCATGTGCCAGCACTTGGGAAGGCGGCGAAGACCAAGAGTTGATGTGGCTCTTGCTCTTCCCCCTACGCGGTTCTGTGACTGACAGTCGTGGCGGTTCTGTGTCGGCTCAAGGAGCAGGACGTGGCAAATGAGCAGGACGTGGCTTCTTGTGCAGCTGTACGGCTAGGCAACGTTCACTCCCGTTCCCCCTCCATGAAACCAACATCCGCTATAGCCCCATAGCCCCCATATATACTCAGTGGCGCGCCGTGCCTGCCGTGCCTGCCTGGCCTCTCGTGCCAGGCTACGGGGCAGCTACTTGTGGGGCCCAAACATGGCCTCCGTCGAAGCCGCCGACGACGTGAAGCCCACGGATTTCCCCTCGCTCATGGAGCCGCTCGCAACGACCGGAGAGAGGTCGGTGGGGTGTGGTGGTTTCGGGGAGGCGTGGTGGGGTGGCTCGGGGTGGTTTGGGTGATTTGGGTTGGCTGGGTGCTTATAGCTATTATATATAGTGATAAGATGGGTGGGTGATATGGGCCGAATTAGGGACCCTGGTTGGAGCTGTTGGAGGTGGAGCATCAGCTTGGGTGGTGAGGAAAGGGGAACCCTTGCAGTTCAAGATACAGCCAACTGGCTGTTCCTGTTGTCATTTGCGTCGTGAGGGAAAATGATGTTCCGGTTCTTTCAAGTTTCCAGTTGCTGTCCGAAGGTGAGCTAGGGCCGTTAGGGTTGTTTCTTTTCAAGTGGCTACCCAACTGTTTTGGAACAATCATGTCGTGGAGCGCAATTGATGGATCCCCCTTTGCTGCTTGTTGGTTAAAGTCCAAGTAGAAAAGTGGTTGCCCCTATACAGTATCCATCACTTATTAACTCCACAAGGTATCCATGTGTGGCTATCAAATCCAGAAGTTGTGGCAATGCAGATCCTGAATCTGCCGACCAACACACCATGCTTTGGTTGGCCGCCAACAACCATGTCGCATGTGGATGAGAAATGGGCCTCAGCACGACCACGTCTCCAGCTTCACTTTCCGTCTTTGGAGGCTGAACGTAGCTTGTTTCTAATAGCGACCCTTGTTACTACTAGTAAGGCACCTGTTACTACTAGCGTGGCACCTGTTACTAGTAGTAAGTACTTTTCATATCTTTTCATTTGAAGAATCTTAACATCGAATGCAGAGGCACAAGATGTGTAAATCGAATGCAGAAACCCAAGACTTCTTCTCTGAGCTCATGCAGAGAGAGGCACCAACGTCTGGTGTTTTTTCCCGAATGCGTAGCGAAGGGTTCTCGTTTAACTCTGGGGGTCTGGGGGTAGAGTCTTGTTCGCGATCCGTTGCTTCTATGTTCGCAACCGTCCGCAACCGTCCGCAATCGTCCGCAACCGTCCGCAACCGTCCGCAGTAGGTCGCTAAGGCGCTGCCATTGGGGGAAGCTTTTGCAAGTGACTATGCATGGATGTGTCACGTGTTAGTTTGCGACGCGAGTCCATTGTGATTTGCGTGAAAAGGACAGGTCGCGCAAGAAGCGTGATGCATTTCACTGCACAGGCGCAGCGTTTTGTGAGATCCGCAGTTTGCTACGCAGTTCCATTGGGATTAGCGTTTGGAGAGTTGTGTTTTTGGGGTGTTGGATGTGGCCGTGCCATTGGGAATTGCGTTTCAGGGTGTGGCATCGAAGCTGTGTTTTCGTGACAAGTCTCAGCTGAAATGCCGATTTTGGATCCTAGGAGTGTGCTCAGAACGGGTCGAAATCATTCCAAACGTGTGGTGTGGTGCAAATTTTGGTGAAGCTCACATGAGATGACATTGTTACTTTTCGTGGCAGGCGCAGGACTTTGTGCGGGTTTTGAGGTGTGGAAGTGGGATTTTCGTGGCAGGCGCAGGGAATCGTGAGGTTGCGATGCGTGACGGAGGTGACATTTCGTGACAGGCGCAGGGATTCGTGAGGTTGCGAGGTGTGACGGAGGTGACATTTCGTGACAGGCGCAGTACTTTGTGCGCCTTAGACGTGTGGACGCGGAAGGATGC